TTATGGCTGATTCATGTGCATTTGGTATCTTTTCATGAAAGATATTTCTTCTAACTGGTATCGTGGAAACGGTGAGCAAGATCAAAGTTGGAATATTGGCTCTATCCTTAAATCTGTATACCCCTGAGAACTTGGCTTCTCCAAGCCGAGTATTTCCTCTTCTGTAAAATGGGGATGTTACCATTATCAAAGAGTGATTAAGAGGATTAGAGTGCCCATTTTACCTTTAGATATCTTTGACTATGAGGTCATACTTATATTGAACAAAAATCTATCTCTCTGTAATTCTAATCAATTCACTATAGTTCAGCATCCTGGGACCACGTTAGGAAGTTGAAAATTATCTTAAAACTGAGTTTCCCACTGTATAATTTTTGGTGTTTATGCAGCAACCTGGCCTTTAACAACTCATTATTAACCATGTCTTATTTTCCCCAAAGATAATGATTGAATAACTACATTTGCCAGGCAAGGGCATCTGGGAGTCTCCTGGACAAATTTGATCATCAGAGGAGTCCCATATGTCCCGGGAATGGGTCTGCTTTGGTATCCCTGCTGTGCTCAGGTGTGGGTTGGGAGGTGCCTATGGGAAATGTGGACTTCACGCAAATTCAACAATGGATTTCAGAGGTCAGCAGCTTGAGCCCTTGGCCAGTTATACTTCCTCTAGTTGTAGGCCTTTGAGGCACATGCTTAAGAACACCACATCATATTTGTCCACCTTAATTGTATATAAAAATAAAATTGCTAAAAGCTCTAGTGTAGTATTTGCTTTATAGAGTGAAAGATAAATGTAAATTTTGCTATGGGGAGATGGTAGCTAAAAGAAGCTACTATTTATGCTTCTCTCTTACTCCCATGCAGAGCCCCCCTCACAACCACCCATGCTTCCCTCAAAGTAAGATGATAAACTGAGCATGGCAACATTCCAAGACAAGCTTGGTATGATTTGCCTTTGCAGTGTATCTTGGCTTTGCCCCTCCTCATGGTTAATTTTCAGTACACCACTAAACAAATTATATTTTTCAATGTTTATTGATTTTTCTTTCATCTTTGACTTCCTCGATTAGGAAAAGGGTAGGCTGTTAATGTCTCTATAACAAAGAAGTGAGAACAAGATTAGTGAACTGAATAATTTTGTTAAAGTTCTGAGATCAAAGCTTATTGTCCTAGTGTTTCTGTTACTCATTTTCAGTATATGATGATGTAGGCCATTTCCTTAGATTCGATTCATGGAACTGTATTGCCCTTGCTTAGAGATTTTAAGTTACACTACTTATTAAGGAGTACCGTAGAATTTCTTATGTCAACCATGAAAACAGCTATATACCGTAGCTGTAAATAGTGTTTACAGTTATATACATGTAGTTGTTTGCAACATGGCTTTTTAGAATCTGTCTTCAGTGACTTTCAAAGATCACCTTTGCTGGTTATGTAAACTTAAAACAATGGATTTGCTTTTGGACATTTAAGAGTATGATGCGGTGTCTCATGCCTGTCATTTGCCAGCAAAAGAAATGTTACTCTTCAGCTTTGCCACAATGCCCTCACATTCTTCAACCTTGAGTTAGTCAGCCACTTATCAGCTGATGTGATTTTACATTTTCGCCTTGATCATTAATCATTCACTTTAAGTTCTCCTTTTGTAGTGTTTGCCAGTTGCTTCCAAAATAAACATGCTTTCTGGGCTTAAGGAAGGGAAAAGCAAAAAGATTTAAAAGAAGATAGTAGATGGTTTCACAGTTACTTTGGCTTTATTACTAATGCCAACTCCTATCATAAGGCAAGAACTAAGCTTGAGGTATTAATAAATATTTTATTCAAGGAACTTTTTTTCAGCCCTTATGAGAATTTATAAACATGATTGGATGGGATGGTGCTGTTAAGTTAAAGGGAGAGACTCTCTCTCCTAAGATAATAGATTGTTTGGTGATTTTCTGAAAATTTGAGTGTGGGTTTACATAGTTTTAAATATTCCTTTTAGATTTACTGTGGTTTCTAAAACAGTCTCTTGTTTTAGGAGGACATTTATTTATTTTGTGAAATAAATTAATAAAATTACATATGTCAGCTGACATAATTTTTCACTTTTATTATTCTGTAGATAATAATCAACCAGGTGTAAACATGAGTAATATATTTCCTCTATTACATCATACATTCCTAGCCCTTTGAATAAGCACCTTTGCAAAAATATATTTCATTTCTGTCTTGATTAAAATTTGTTTCATGAGTTGGAAGAGATCATGAACCCTGGGTAATGCATTTTGGTTGTAACTAAAATTCTTAAGTCAATTAATTATGAGTTACGCCAGACATGGAACTTTATGACACCCAGGGTATTCTATTAAAATAGCAGTATTGAAATAGCTGCTGGCCCTTTCTAAAAAGTATGGCCATTTAAATCACCTAAGTAATGATCTTTGAAATTACAGAATTAAAAATACCACGTTATTTCCTACCTGATAATTGGATGAGAAATTAGACATTAACCTAGCCTTCCAAAGGCCTAGAGATTCCATTTTTTTTTTCTTTCCTGTTCCTTCTTATTTGTGTTAATTTTATTTTCAGTAAAACAGATCAAGGAATTTCTCTTAGTTTATGAACCTTTCTAGAAAAGTAAATATAGCTTATACTTTTGCTATTGGTTTTATATTAAAGAAATTATGCAAAAGTTGCCTTTTAATAGAAGTAAAAGTCTTTGTAGAACTTATCTGTGATTTACACATGCATGCTTCAGAAGGTCAGGTATTCTAACTTTTGTACAAGGTAAAAGTTACTTGGAATATGGAAAGGCATGCTAAAACAAATAGAAAACATTTTATTTCATTTCAACTACCTTTCTTTTTAAAAAATCTTTATTTAGTAGACATGATTTACATATCAGCCCTCAAACATAACTTTTAAAGTTTGCTCCTGTTTTAAAAGAATAAAGTTACTCTTTAAGACAAATGAAACTTTTACTGCCCTGTATTTGCAGAACAAAATACTGTAAACTAAAATTAACTGTAATATTCTAATGTTGTAGAGAAGAGCCAGGGAATTTCTAAAGTCACGTTGTTAAAACAAATTTTTAGTTGAGAAATAAAAAAGAGAAAGAAAACTTCCTTAACTAATGATTCTCAAATATTAGTAATATTATTTTATTTCACATGAGAATCAAAATGTGGGAGATCTCACTTGTTAGGTACAAGGTAAGAAATATAATTACACAGACAAAAATGGATTATAGCAAATAATACCAGTTTGTCACCATATCTATACATGAAATAAATTCAAAATTATATAATTTTAGTGGTAATTACTGAATCAGAAAGAGTAAGATGTTATGTTTTAAAAATATTTACTATATAAAGTTTAATTATTGTGGCATAATAATACTGGGAGTTTTGTGAAGTATATCTTAATATTGATTCTAAATTCAAATGAATTTATTGTTATAAGGAGATATTTTGCATGTAAAATTCACAAGTTTTTGTGTAATTTTTATTAAATTACAATGTATATATATGGTCTACTTATTATAGTTTTGGAATTTACAAAGTAAACAATTGATTATCAACCTAAAATTCCTTCCATTTTAAACTACAATGTCAAGGTTCTCTGGTTAAATCACGTAACATTACAAGTGCTATCAGAATGACCTCAGACTATTTCTGTTCTGTTTTCTTTGGCCTTACTCATGTGATATTTTTTATACTTTAAAAACCTTTGCACTGCACTATGCTACTGTAGAACAATCTGATTTTTCTTGATTACATCTCAAAGTTGATTATACTGATTTAATAATAAGATAAATATAAGAATTTGTAAACTTAAATATTTTATTTTTAAAATAAAGAATCTGCAGGGATCTAATGTTTATTCATCTATATATTCTAATTTTTACTGTATTAAGTAGCAATATTAATATTATTAATTAGTGTCATTAATAATTATATTTTAATCAACTATTATGGGGTAACATAATTATAACATAGGGTTAGTGGTGATGCAAATGAATTTAAATAATCTGTATGTAAAGGAGTCTTTAAATAGAACTTTGTAGCTTTAAGAGAAGAGTTAATAGTTAATTGTTAATGTTAATTAATATTAATTAATATTAACTATTAACAATTATTACAATCAATAACAATTATTCATTCAACAATTGTTATTAATAACAATAATAGCAATTATTATTCATGTGGTTATCATTTCATTGCCAAACACTGTATGTATTGGTATTTTACAAATGTTAACTAGCTTAATTCAATAGTCAAATTTTTGGGGTAAATACTAGTATATCCTTTGTTTTCAAGTAAAGAAGTTGGACAGAGAAGTGAAAAACTTGTTTCAAGGTTCATATCAAAGAACATACAAGAACTGATTATTAAACATTGGTTATATTTTTATAATATTTCTGATGTATTGTTAAACCTTAGATGCTTCACTGAAATTTTGCTCAATTTTTAATTAAGACATTTAATATAAATAGAATTTTAGTGTATTTATGTAAAAAATTTCAAGATATAACTTTATAAACACACACACATATGCATGCACACACACACGCACACACTCATACTCACATATATTTTTGTACCAAAAATGGAGGGAAACATCACTCAAAAGTTAAAAACAAGCTATTGGTTTGAAATCCCAAAGATGCTGGACTGAAATGAGTCTCTCTGATGTTTTGGCAGGAAATCCTCTACACCTTGAGAAATTTTACTTGGGACAGAAAATATAAGGGCAGGCACAAATAAAGGCAGGTGCCATAATTATAACATAGGGCTAGTAGTGATGTGAACAAATTTAACTAAATAATCTGTTTATATCTAAAGGGGCCTTTAAATAAAACCTTGGAGCTTTAAAAGAAGGTAAATAGCATTTTCAGCCAGTGCAATAGAAAGCTATATGTTATTAAGTCTTTCAGATATGAAGTTGGATATATTTTCCATTTTTCTAAACATGCATAAAAATATTTAGATGGTTACCATATTCTTTGATTCTTCTAGGAGTCAATCTTAAGATGTGATGCTTTCATGTGAAACCTGAAACAAGGTGATCTGGGGAACCAAAGACTCTAGGACTCTTGGTGCCAACAGAGCTACTCTGTGAGTATCCTTGGTGTGTAATGATGCTTTCTTCCATCTAGCTGTTGTAAGTCATGCTGTTTATGCAATTAGTAAATCTTACTGTGAATGGTAATATTGGCATGACTACTGTTTTAGTTCATTTTCTAAAATAGGACATACCTTAAACTTGGTACTTTTGGCTTCTAGTGTTTTCATGATCCAATATACTGTGTGATCTTGGTCAAGAGACTAAGTCTCAGTTTCTCTGTATATAAAAAGAAGCTAAATATAAACTTCCTTCATTAAAATGATTAAAAAGTAGTAAATGATAAAGTTTCAATAATATTAATAGAATTATATTCTATTTTTATTACTAACATGAATTCTGATTTTAAAATTAACGAGAAAGCTAGAGATATATACTTTTAGTTATTTACCTTTATCATTGACACTTTTTAAAAATCTACATTTTGAACAAAAATGATCATATTGGGGTTTTTTACATTCATATTTTGTTTGCAAAGGGCTTATCACTCACGAAGTTTTCACACTCATGATTCAATCTGATTTAATCCTTCATACAATCTTGGTTTAAAGCAGGTCAGGGATTTTAATCCTCACTGTGCAGATGAGAAAACTGATAACTGATGCTCAGCATTGTGTCTTGCTGAAGGCTGCATAACTTATAAGGGACTTAAAATTCAATGTTCTTATAACCAGTCTATACTATCTTCTCTAGACTGTTCTTATAACTAGTCTATACTCTTTCAAATAAACGTAAGCAACTGTATTCAACTGGTCAAATTTCTATTTTTGCATTGGATTGCTACATATTTTAACTAGTTTATAAGAGTAGTGTGATAAATTTACAAAGTTATATTACCTGTTTGTTGCGAACAATTCCTAGACCAACTGTATGGCTGTATTCTGTCTTCTACCTCTGTTGTATCATGTACTCTATCTTCTACCTCTGTTGTATCATGTACTCTGTCTTCTACCTCAAGTTCATGAACAAATCTTGGTATATCTATGTAGTAAACAGAATAATGGACCCCCACATCTTAAACTCTGCCGCTTCAGAATATTATGTTACATGGTAAGAGGAGAATTAAGGTTGCAGATGGAATTAAGGTTGCTAATTAGGTGACTTTGAAATTATCCCTGATTATGTGCATGGGCCCAGTGTAAATACCAGGATCCTTATAAGTGAAAGAGAGAAGGCAGCATGAAAGATACTCAGTCCAACCTTGACGGTTTGTTGATGTAGGAATGCAGCCAGAAGCCAAGGAATGCCAGTGGTGGCTTTCAGAGTATGGAAAAGCAAGGAAACAGATTCTGTCCTAAACCTTCCACTCACACCTTGATTTTAGTCCATTGAGACCCATTTCAGACTTCTGACCTCTGAAATTGTAAGATAATAAATTTGTGCTGCTTTAAGCCATTGTATTTGTGGTTGTTTGTTACAGCAGCAACAGAAAAAGAATACAGCTCAACACTGTGAAATTATGGAGAGCCTCAGAGTAGAAACAGTGGTTTGTGCCAAGAGGTTACTAGGTCAGTCATAGGGGTATTTGCTGCTTTGATTGAATTTTTTGTTCCATGTTAAGTATGATCATAGGGCTAGGTTGTAATATGTCGTATGGTTCCTTTTGGATACATAGTTTGCTAAGGAAACCAGCTTACCCCTGCCTGTTCTTATGAAGAGTACAGAATATAGATCTTGGAGCATTTGGGTTCAAATGCTGCCTCTGATGCTTACTAATTGTAATCTTTTTGAGCATCAGTTTTTTCATCTGTAAAATGAGGACAATACAAGTTCTTTATAGGGCTGTTGTGAGAATTAGCTATTAATTTGTGTTAAGTGCTTAAAATACTATTAATACTTGGCATATTGTAGGGACTAATTAAGTGGTAGCTATAATTATTACTAAATTATTCCTCAAATACTGTATTTTCTAGATTCATTTTCTTTATTCAGATCTAGATAGGAAAGTATCCAAAACTATCTCAAAGGGATGAGCGCCTTTGTGGTGGAGGCATTTTAGTATAATTACGTGAATTTTGTAATTTGATATTTTACTTAATTTTTTAAAACCTTTTGTGCTTTGAAATGCCTCTTCTTTGTCTGTTTTCATCATCATAAATATGTAGATGAAGCAAATTTGTATATTCTATAACCATTTCATTGACTTTACTTATTGTACTGTCTTAACTGTTTTATATTGTGAGTCTTTAGGTTAGTTTTGATGTTACTACTTCAGCATGCGAATATCTTGGTAGTAGGGAAAGTATGCAGCACCTTGTAATAAGAGATCCTAGATTAAAAATACTTCACAAGTGAGAAAAACCTAATCTGAATAGAGTTTTCAAAGACATTGTTGAGAGAGGAGTCTCTTAAGTGGATACATAGAAATGACTACTTCGGTCAGTGCCCCATTCTCTGTGTTTGACGGTGGTGGGTCTGCTTTAGGCCTGGTGGGAGCATATATTTGATCAGTCTTTTAGGCCTTCACCACAGTGGCTATATCCCAAGGGACAATATATTAATTAATTCAACCAACATGTGTTACATACCTCCTAATGCCAATAAACAAATAATGTCTGTTCAAGATGTTTCCAGCTTAGTGGGGAAGAACCAATGATCCCTGAAGTTAGGCAGGGTGGTAAGACCTGTTTACTCTTTCTAGCTACCCACACACAAAGGCCAGTTGCAGCATGCCATGATTTCTTATGCAGTTTTAAAACGTGCATTGCTCTTACAAAACAGTTTGTCTGTGCCTGTCTTTTGACACCCTAGGTTTTCTCTAGTACGAGGAAAAACAAAACAAAATACATTCCTTACATAGACACCTGAAATACAAGGAATCCCTTTAAATTGTGTACTTAAAAACTATAATCACAGGCCTATTGAGTCTGTGGTTAAGAAACAGATATCAATAATCACATAGTATGTTTTAGTAAAACGAGGTTTCTCTTTTTCCTCAAATACATGTGGTATCTTTGTGGTGTTTTTCAATCAATTCCTTCGATTTTCATTTTACAGTCTTACTTCTCCCACACTTAACTAATTGGCATCTCATTTACCTGGATAAAGCTAGAAATCACAGAAAATTAGGAGGAGCTTTCCCCAAGGCACTCAACGATGTGGAAATGGTTGGATCTTTGGGTAGCCTTGGAGAACCGTTTGAACACGGAAGCTACAAAGGATATCACTGTTTCTTCCCTATGTTTTCACTTGAATCCAGCAGTTAACAGAAGGGTAGCAGAGGAAAATAGGAACTATTTGACCAAAAAAATCACTGCAATGAGTTAGTGGAAGGTTTCAAGTGAATTATGTGCCAAATGCCTTCCCATGCCTTCTATGCCTTTCTGTGCCTTTCTACCTTGAAACTGCATCAATAAATCAGTACAGAGGTAAGCTGAGCATGCCCGGCTGTTAATATATCCTCCCTAATATTCCAGTAAGCCTCTCACTGTGTCCTCATTTCTTTCACATAGACTATGGATTGTGTGGGTTGGTATAAATGCTAACAATCAAATAATTAGGCTTTTTCTTTCATGTTGAGTTGGCCAGATTTACATATTTGGCAGTATCTTAAACTTAGGAAAGTTTTTAAATGTTCAGTCTTCTCCATTCATAACATGGTTCAGAAATAATGAATTGAGAGTTTCTGATATGAAATAATCCGTCAGATGTGGTAATGTGTCTATAAAAATATGGTTAAAATGAGTATAAATGGTTTTAGATACAGGGAAACATTTCTGTGATACTGTCTTGATAATTAAAATCCTAACATTACTTAACAGCTTTATGATGTGACAGCAGATGCCTAGAGTAGGTAGTTTTATTATTTTGGCTCGTACCTTTAGCTTATGTGAATGTATGTGGTGATCAATTAAATTATGCAAGATTTTATAATATATGACTTTGCTAATACTACTTTATAACTCTATTTTAGCTTTGACAATTCTGGTTTTAAAATATGCACACACACACACACACACACACACACACACACTCACACACACATATATAGCCTCCCGCCATGGGAAAGTGAATATTTAAAAAATGTTCTTAATTTATTTAGCAGGTATGAGTGCATATTTCTTACATGCATATATTGTGCAGTGGTAAAATCTGGGCTTTTAGTGTGCCCATAACTCAAGTGGTGAACATTGTATCCAATAGGTAATTTCTCAACCCTCATCCTCCTCCTAGCTTCCCAGCTTTTGTAGCCTCCAATGTCTATTATTACAGCGAGTGACTGTTTGAGAAAAGTAAAGCTGCCTTATTTATCCCGGCATCCCTCCTGTACATAATATAATGGGTTTTGTGGCTAGCTACTCACTATATGTTGGTTAAATTAGTTATTTAATTAAACACAAGGAAAAAATGTATTCAGCTAGTCCCTTTGATTCATCTCTTTAATTCTTAAAATTGATGCGGAACTGGAGAATATTGCTTGGATATATGGTCAAATGGGGTTTCTCATTTGAACTTATCAAAACTTAGGCTTTCCCTTGTATGGGAAGAACCTGCTCTAGTAAAATTATCATACAATGTAGACCAGATCAGAATCTGTCTCCTCCGTAGGAAGGCATATCTGGAAAAGGGAGAGCCCAGAATATTGCTGCATCAAGCTTGCTTAATTTTTTCTTGAAAATTCAGCTATCAGATGTGGAGTGGATTGAAGTGTTATTTTAACAGTAGTATCTGCATTAGGAAATATGAGGCCAGTATGTAGGTGAGAAGCCTGGGGGTTACAGAGGTTAGATACTTTGTTCAAGATGAGAAGTAGAGTATAGGTTTTACCCAACTCTTCTAATACTAAATCAAGGTGTTTTCTTGTCGTCGTTTTATTTTGTGGTTTTTGTTTTTGCTTTTGCTGCTGCTGCTTTTTTTTTTTTAAGAGCCCTTTAAATAATCCTTTTTAAAAAAGAATCCTTTAGATTTTTTTAAAAACATCTTTTTTAAAAGAATTTTATGCTGCATCATAATAGTAATAACTGGTGGTCCCGGGGGAATGACGTTTAGTGAA